CCACCAAGGGCAGCCACTCTTCAATGATGATCCTTGCAGCATCACTTTTCTTTGCAAGTGGAAAGGACTAGGTGAGCCTTGTGTTATCATCCACCATGGTCATGGAATACAGGGCCCCACCATCTCCCTTCACCTTCATGGGTCCCACGAGATCCACATGCACGAGCTCCACTGGGTCACTCGACTTCCCCTCCACCGAATGGAAGGGAAACCGTGAAAACTTGCTGGTCAAGCAAGTCTCACAAGATCCCACCTCCTTGGGCTCCCCCTTTATCATCAGCCCCTTGAATCTTTCCTCCTTGAACAGCTGCTGCAACTGAGGTAGCGCCACGTGGCCAAAGCGACGGTGTGCGGTGAGCCAATCCGTCTCACCCGTGCTAGGAGTTACACTTGGTAACTCAGCCCTTCCATGCCCACGGAGCCCACCATCACTATCATCACCACCTCCTCCATTGTCCACGTGGTTAATACGCCCTCCTCTCACACCTCCAGCAGCCAAGCGCGTAGCCGCCTCCTTCCATGGCAGCACCGGTATCTCCCACATGGACCGGTGCATGTCCTTGCCGCCTCGGAGGTCCCACAACACGCGCCCATCCAGAGTTGCCTTGAAAACCTTTGTGCCCAACATCTCCATCTTCATCCCTGCCTCACTTAGGGCCTTGGTAGAGAGGAGGTTGGCACACAATCCAGGAACAAGGAGAACACGCTTCAGCCCCACAAGCCTCCCATCCGCACCCATGAACATGGCTCTCCCCTCGCCACGTACGGGTACAACTTGGCCGGTGGCTGAAACGACAGTGGCTGCCTTTGATGGCCTAACTTCATCCAGTAGATCCTCTCGGTTGGTCATGGTCATGAAGGCTCCCGTGTCGATAACCCAATGGGAGGAGCGGTGAAGAGCAACCTTGCTGGCCGGCACAACCATGTCCTCGGAGCACGCCTCTCCTACATGGTAGAACATGCCGCCGTATCCGCCAGCACCTCCATCGCCCTCCTCACTACCCACGCCTTCTCCCATAGCTCCATGAACACCCTTGGAGCCCTCAATTGATGGCTGACCAGGCCTCCAGCCGTTAGGTAGCTTGCGGCACTTGAACCATGGGTGCCCTTCCACATGGCAATACCAACACTTGCCGCCACACCGCTTGCCTCCCTTGTTGTCACGCTTCCCTCCCAAATGCTGCTCCCCTCCAGAGCCTTCCTTGGCCTTGCCTTTCTTGCTGCCACGCCCCTTGAAGCCCTTCATGCCGTAGGCTGAACCTCCACCTTCACCGGCAGCGGCGGTCAGCTCCTTCCTCCGAAACTCCTCTTGAAGAACTTGCGCGCGAATCCACTCAAGGGACCACGAGTCCTTCATGCCATTAAGGTTGACCACCAAGGGCCCCCACGACTCCGGCAGCAGGGAGAGAGCCTTGTAGCACTTGATTTTTTCAGGGTAGTCCACACCAGCAGCAGAGAGCTTCACATAGAGGTCCCTGAGTTGATCGAACGCTCCTTGTACGGCATCACCCTCATTGATCTTCACCGCATGGAGTTGTCCCTCGAGCACCACCACCACAGCTTCGCTGCTGGGGGCATGGACATCCTTCAATATCTTCCATGCCTTAGGACCACACTCAACTTCCTTGATGAGATGCTTGATGTGGTGCAGCTGGTTGGATGAGAGGCATTGGGAGAGAAGGAAGAATCCATCCTTGGACCGGCGATCCCATTCTTTGGTCGCTCCTTCGCTCGCAGGCCTCTTCAATTCTCCATCCATCACTTCAAGCAGCCCATAATGGTTGAAGAGGAGCTCCATCCTGAAGCTCCATGATGCCCAATCCTCCCCAGAGAACTTCTCCAGATTGAATGCCTTCACATCATCCTTAGCTGATGTTGAAACGGAAGCCATTGGTGCAGATCCGCCAGCAACGCCTCTTCCCGCTTCCCCAGCGCCTCTCACGCCACCACTGCCACTGGGACCAGCTGGAGCAGAACCTTCAGCCTCCATATTCACCCACGAACAGAGTAGAACAGCTCTGATACCACTTGTTATAGTCAAGAGTCCACTTAGAGGTCGCGGATGCCCATGAAACCCCCTAAGAAGAATCTGACGTCTTCAAACCGCCTCTGTTCAAAACACCGTCACGATCAGCTGTTAAACCATACGAGGCTGAAACTTGGACAGCGGTTAGCCTTAGGTGTCTGCTTTCCAACGGTATATAACTGGCTATTATCAGAGGTGTGTGCACTATGCAGTGAACGAAAACGTAAGCCCGGCTGAAAAAAACGTGTAGTCTCATTGATGCAAGGAAGAGGTGAGTACAACATTGCCTAGGGGACTCATAAGGGGTTGGGTCATCCTGGGAACTCAGAGAATGTTGAGTCATAGGGGAGAAAGGCTAGAGAAGGATGGGAAACGTCCTAGCTAGGTCAGCAAAGCCAACCACACATGGATGTTCAGAGCTGTACTCAAGGCAACCAATTGTGAGTTAAGCCAACCATGAGTCAGCTTGTCTTCCCACTTGCACCCTCTTGCAAGCTGGTTCCAGGAAGACCACACATCTCAAAAGGAGGGCTGTAGAGTCCCACTTGACCACCTGTACTTCTTGTCTCATTCTCTGTCCCTGCACCATTGGCATGACAACAATGAAAGGGTGGCAAGGGAAATGCTGCCAACAGTGCACCATGACTACGGAACAGTGCATTTCGGCAGCTGTCAAGCAATGCTCACATGTTGGATCGTTCTGAAACTTGTTGAACACCTGCACAGCGGGGAATAAAACTGCCAGACCGAATTGCCGACCAATCAGAGCTTGGTAGACGAGTCAGCAGGAACAGCTCCAACGCCTCGAGCTCCAACTCCCGCAGCACCAGCAGCACCTCCAGCAGGAACAGCTCCAGTGCCTCCAGCTCCAACTCCAATGGCACCACTAGCTCCAGCACCAGCAGCACCACTAGCAGGAACAGCTCCAGCGCCTCGAGCTCCAGCTCTTGCAGCACCACTAGCTCCAGCACCAGCACCACCACCAGCAGGAACAGCTCCAGTGCCTCCAGCTCCAACTCTTGCAGCACCACCAACCCCAGCAGCTCCAGTACCTCCAGTACAAGCACCTCCAAAACCAGCGGCTCCAGTACCTCCAGCAGCTCCAGCAGCAGCAGGACCTCCTGCTCTAGCAGCACGGCTCCAACGCCGAGCAAACCACTCGCGCAGCTGCGGTGGAGAGAGTGGCTCCCACCGGGACAAGACACCCGTAGGACCTCCAAAGGTCAAAGTTCCTCTAGGCTCAGCACGCTCAGGCTCAGCACCCCGAAGCTCCACACTCTCAGGCTCAGCACCCCCAGGCTCCGTACCCTCAGACTTAGCAACCCCAGGCTCAGCACCCCCAGGCTCCGCACGCTCACGCTCAGCACCCGCAGGCCCCGCACCCGCGGGCTCAGCACCCCCAGGCCCCGCACCAGCAGGCTCAGCACCCCTAGTAGTATCAGAGTCGACAGCTACCTCGACAGGCTAGACAGGGTCTACCTGGGAGACACCTGAGGGGGCAGGACACTGAGGGGGGAGGGGGTCTTCCGGAGGAGGACCTGGTGCTAGGAAGAGCGGCGGGGGCAGTGCGGTAGGGGAAGAGATGGTAAAAGGGAACCGACTCGTCAAATGTGACGTCCTGAGAGGACAGAACACGGCACGAGGTGGGGTGGTAAAACTGCTAGCCAGGCGCGTCAGGGGGAAAGCCAAGGAAGACGCAGGGAACAGCATGGGAGGACAGCTTGACTGCGGAAGAATAGCGGACAAAAGCTCGAGATCCGCGGACACGGAAAACAGACGCATCGCCAACCTTCCCCGTCCACCGCAGAGCAGGTGTGGTCTCCGGAGCGGAGACACGGGGCTGGAGGTTGAGCTGATGCGTAGCGTACTGAACCGCGAACGGCCATAGAAAATGGGGAGTAGTCGTATGGATCATGGACGTACGAACGACGTCCATGACCATGCCAATGGGGCGCTCAGCATTCCCATTTTGTTGTGGGGAGGCCGAAAGCGTGAACATCTGGCGGATGCCCTCCACACGGGAGAAGGCGTGCAGAAGGTCGGAGGAAAACTCTCCACCCCTGTCAGAGTGTACACGCAAAACAGGGAGGTCCGAGCCGAAAATCTTGGTGAGCTGGCGACGGGCAGCACGGATCTAGTCGATCAGCACCTCAGTGACCTCACCCTTGCAGCGCAAGGGGAAGACTGTGGTGTAACGCGAGTAGTCATCAACGACCAGCAGAATGTAACGCTCGTGACCCTATCCATGGACGCGGGCTGGGCCCCACACGTCCATGTGGAGAGTCTGCAAAGGAGCCTTTGTCAGAGGGAACTCGGAGGAGTGAGGAGCGGCGAACTGCCATCCCTCAACGCAAGGAACGCAGGTAGGGGCAGGCCCTGGTGGTAGGGGAGGGAGAGACCGGGGGTGATCAGTGACAAGGACACATGAGGCCATACCTAGAAGACGAGGCAGGGAGGGGTGACCAAGGCGGTAGTGCCAGAGGAGAGTCTGGTCTGACAGGAGACGACACTAGCAGGGGGCAGACTCCGGACCAGACCTGGACGCGGCAGCAAATACGTGACCAGATGCAGTAACTGGAGGGGACGCGGTAGTCAGTGTGTACAGGCTCGACCCAGGCTGACGGGTGAACGTGGCCAGGTGGTGGCCTGTCCGAGTACGGTGGTCACCCGCTGACCTCCAGGAGTGAACTGGTCAACCCACACGTTCTGGAGGTCAGCTCCACTCACCAAGTTCGTAGAAAACGAGGGGAGGTGAAGACCCGACAGTGAGCCAGACCGGATCGTTGGACATGGCAGAACCGTAGAAGAGTGCGCAAGGACTGGGCCCCTAGAGGGATCCGCCAGAGAGACAGCAACCGGCCGACTGAGCAGTGTAAGTGTGGTGCATTCGCGAAAGAGAGAGCGAGAAGCACCGTAGTCAAGAGTGAATGTGTGCAAGGCCTCAGCAGGCGCAGTACTTGAGAGATCAGACTCACTAGCACCTGGAGTAGCAAACTCACCAGTACCTGGAGTAGCAGACTCACTAGCACCTAGAGCAGCAGCCTCTATACTTGGGTCAGGCGGCACACACAGGTAACACTCACCCTCAGCACTAATAGTCATAGCATACATGGCAGCAAGGATAGCATCATAATCAAGATCAAAGATAGCAATACCAGACTTAAGCAGATCAGCCCAGTGAGGGAGCTCAGTGGCGTCAGGAAAGTGTGCGCGCCAGGCGTCAGTCAGGCGACTAAAATAGCGCCGCGTCGCGTGCGGCAGCCCGCGCTTCTCCCCACGGCAGTCGGCGGTGCGGAGAATGTAAGCGCAGGGACCAGCACCCCCAGACCTCCCACGCCTAGCGTACCACTCACAAAGCTGCTGGGGCGATGGGGCCTCACATGAATTCGGCTGCTGCTGGCGCTGACCACCTCCAAAGCCTCCACGTTGTATGGCTGCACCTCGACCAGCACCACCGCCGCCGCCCCCACCTCCACCGCCGCCACCGACGCCCCCACTCCCGCCACCACCTCCACCTTCCCTCCCACCCCCTCCACCTCCTCCACCGCCACCACCGCCGCCCCGCCGTCCCCTCCACCACCCTTGCCCCCCTCCACCGCCCTTGCAGTTGCGGCGCCTCCCACTGGGAGCAGACGCGGCGCCGACCGCCTCGGTGCCAACGAGGTCGACAACAGCAGTAGAGGCAACAGAGGGCAAAAGGGGGACGGGGGAGCACCCCTCAAAGAAAGGGGCGCGAGGGTCGCCGCAAGAAGCTCCTACAGCGACTAAACTAGTCTCAGCAGCAAGGAGGCGCTCCTCGAGCAGGTCGACGGTGAGCTCAGTGGGGCATAGGGAGAGAAAGTGGTCCCTGACTGAGTGAAGAGAGTCAGGGAGATGGGTGACAAGGTAGAAGAGGGTGATGTACATTGGGGGGGGGGGGGGGGGGGTTCTTCGCGCAAAACTCGAAGGGAAGCGCAGCGCGGTAGCGGGTGTCACTAGTGCGGAGGTGAGTAATGAGGTCGGCGACCATGGCAAAAGCGGCTAGGTCAGGGAACAAGTACGGTAGCATGAGGCGGCTGAGGGCAGCAGAGATAGGGGAGGAGTAGCGTGCGACGACAGCATTTTACAGACACTTATCAGTCTTGTACTGGCCAAAGTGCGCGTGCTCAGCAGGTGACTACAAACAGCAAGGCAAGCAACAGCGTCAAGAGTGGTCCACTGCGAGCGAACCATACTGTCAACATCGGCAGCAGGTGCAGCAAAGGCGCCGGACGTGTGATCGAAGAGCGAGACTCCGTCCCTATAGTCGCATTTAAGATAGAGCTGCAAGTCATCTACCCAAAACTCAAAATCAACCGCACGGCCCTCAGCATCGAAGGTAAGAACAGTATGACTAGCCATGGCGGCAGTAGCAGCAGGGAAGGGCGGCGCGGCTCGGTAGGGCGACGCGGCTCGGTAGGGCGGCGCGGCTCGGCAGGGCGGCGCGGCTCAGCAGGGCGGCGCGGCTCGGCTAGGCAGTGCGGCGCAGCAAGCATGCGGGCGCAGCGGCGCGCTTGGCAGGGCGGGCGCTTACCAGGGGCTGGTGTTGGGTAGGGCTGCGACTGGCGGGTAGGGCAGGGCCCGTAATGTGTGGCAGCAGGGCAGGGCCGCGACGAGGTGGCGGTAGAGCAAGGCCGCAACGGGGCGGCAGCAGGGCAGGGCGGCGACTGGGCGGCTGCAGAGCAGGGCCGCGACGGGGCGGCTGCAGGGCAGGGCCGTGAAGGGGTGGCGGTAGAACAGGGTCACGACTCGGCGGCAGCAGGGCAGTGCCGCGACTGGGCGGCTGCAGGGCAGGGCCGTGACTAGGCGGCGGTAGGGCAGGGCCGCGACGGAGCAGCGGCAGAGCAGGGCCGCGACAAGCGGCGGCAAGGCAGGGCCACGACGGGCGGTGGGGTCAGGCCGCGGCGGGCGGCTAGGGCAGGCCGCGAAGGGCGGTGACAGGGCAGGGCCGCGACGGGCGGCTAGGTCAGGGTCGCGACGAGCTGCGAAAGGGTAGGGCCACGACGGGCCGTTAGGGCAGGGCCGCTACGGGCCAGGAGGGCAGGGCCGCTACGAGCGGCAGTAGGGCAGGGCGCGCGACGGCGCTGGTGAGGCAAGTGCGAGGCGCGCTTCGGGCAGGGCAGGAAAAAAAAGTTTATCGTGGTGGGCCCTAAAAAATACGTTCCCATTAGGGAACCTGCTCTAAAACCATGTCAGAATTAGGAATCAAGAATAACTAGAAGGAGGGCAGTACAGAGATTGTATATCAACACCTAATTGGGCTGTACCCCATAAGGAGTGCCCCACTACAGCCTAGAGCATAGTTCTGACAGCAAAGACAAAGGTGCATTTGGGTGGGTAAGGATTTGGCTTAATTACCGAACACAATGCTAACTGTAATTAAACTCTAGTGTTTAATTTTTTATTTTCGGCAAATGTGTATGTAAGGCAGTACATAGTGCGTTATGATTCGGCTTGATCCTTGAGTTGTAATAGATAGAGTGCGCGGAAGACTGTATAAAGAGATTGTTAAAACAGAATATAGAAACAATGAAGGAAGAGAGCAAATGTAGGGCGAAAACGTGCTAGGCGAGAACCTCATGATGTGCGAGGGTTGGAAATGTCCTGATTGGTGCGGGGCGAATCGGGAGTGGTTCAGGCCAAAAATGTAGGCCAAACCCATCTGACACGAAGAGCTCGGGGCTGTCCTTGCTAAGGGCAGCTTAAGCAGTAATATATTGTATATTTATTACATTCTCTCACCTTCTAGATAAGGCCTCCTAATACATAGCCGAGTCTTGCAATAGCCTGAAAACTGCAGATATTCGGTTGAAGCTGATTTGACAGAGTAGCGAAGCGTTGACCGTTGAGCTGACGCGTGGCTGACCATTTTGACCAGGCGGTTTTGAAATGAGTTGGAATGTCACCCATTGATTGTCCTGATTTTGATATGGCGATCGCGATTGCAGAAGCAAATTGAATCTGCAATTGAACTGGAGTCGTCGATGCAGCGAATGCGAGTCGGGCGGTAGTGACGCTGGAGATGTTGGCGGCAATTCTGACTCGATAGCAAAGGCTGGTGAATTGGTAACCGTCAATGTCGATGAAGCCCTCGCGAGCATTCGTCGTGCTGCCAGAATCTGACGAGGCTGTAAAAAAGAGCCAAATATAGTGCGAAAAAAATTACCCCCCACCCCCCTGAAGATAAGGGCACTGTTCGCCAGCACCTTTGAAACCAAAACGACGGGATAACGACGGAGTAAGGAAGGTCGGTCTCACCTTCCTGATCCTGTCATTTAGGGTTCATTAAGCTCCGTCAGCCTGGTCAGCCCATAAAATTGCCGCCGAGCCCCTCATGTCGTCCGAACCAGGAACCAGAGTGAGGGCCTGGCGAATGCCCCCATTTCTTGCCCATTTCGAACTGCTCAACGGCATATGGAAGCGGGGACGCAACTTCATCCCCATGCAAATATCCCTCCCCATGCTATGCCATCGCCATCCCCCCTTTCACGGAGGACGGCGATGGCAAACCTATGGCATTGCCGTTTAGAGGGAACCTCTGATCGAGCCAACTATTTGACAGATGGGGGTTCGTTTTGTTAACGAGAATGAAAGGTTGGCCCCGCCCTCGCTTGGGCAACGCCGACAACTTGGTCGGATGTACGCAAGTAGCAGCCAACTGCTCACAGTGGGATAGCTGCTCGATAGGTTACGTCGAGCTGCAGCGGACCACTGTGGTGTTGCTGTCGACCAGGATGCTCGACAGCTGCACCTGACTGGCCTGGGCGACGGGTGAGCCGTCCGGGAGGTCGACGAAGCAGTCCGTCGACCTACAGTTCGACGGGGAGGTCTATGGAGCATCCCGTCGAACTGCAGTTCGACCGGGAGGTCGACAGAGCAGTTCTGGCCGACGGAAGGGGTCCGTCGACCAAGGGGTAGCTTGACGGGAGGTGTGGTCGACCAGGGGCGCCCGGTGGTCGACCAGAGGGACCCAGTGGTCGACGGGAGGCACCTGGGAGTCGACCAGAGCACCAGGGGTCGACCAGGTCGACCGGGTAACCTGGTCAACGAGTTCTGCGGAGGCACGCGAACGTCGTCGAGATCGCGATGGCGCAGGCGACTTCGGGCTGGTATCCCGAAGTCGATGTGGCTCGTCAGGCGCAGACAAACAGCCGACGGATGCCCAACGAGGCAAGTCGGGCCAATCGTCTGCGCACACCTGTGAGCGCGCGCACTGCTGTGTTCTACGGGGCACGCCGTCGACCTGCTTTGTTGGCAGGTCGCCCTTCTGCAGTGCTGGCGCGGCTCCTCTACGCAATGCTGGCAGACGGTCGACCGAGCTGCGCTGGCGGTCGACCAGGCTGGCTGCAGGGTTGCTAGGTGCCTGATGTAGTCATTGTTGTCATTGCTTCTTGATTATTCTGGAATTCCAACTTTGCTAGTGAAAACTCTTGCCAAATTCTTCCGTGAATGTGCAAACACTAAGGAACTAAGCAAAGCTAAGATCACCTCTAGTAGTTCGTGCCAACCCCTGTAGTCTAGCTCACTACCGTTGTAGAGTTAATCTCCACATGGTGCGGTGAGCGTGGATCGAACACGCGACCTTCAGATAGGAGCCGACTTTTGCACCTACTAAGTCGTTCGTAGGCCGGCAGCAGCGATAGTCGCCATGGTCGACCCCGTAGTTGATACGGGTGTAGCGGACACTTTGGAGGCACGTTTGGCTGACGCGAGGAGACGCCACGCGAATGGCGAGTACGGGACGATCCCCTTAGTGATCGCCGAGTTGGGCATCCGGTCGCAGTGGGCGACGGAACACCCTTCCCGTCCTGCTTCTCCTCGACCGGTGCGCAACGAAGGTGGCGTCGACGACGAGGTCGACGGTGGTGCACGAGTCAGCGGCAGTGAAGGCACGAGGCATAGAGGAGTGATCAAGGTCGACGGTGGTGTCGACGGAATCCAGGCGCGAGTGCAGCGGTCGACGGCGGCTGCAGGCAGCTCGCACGCCGACGTCGATGTTCGACGTCGCTCTCCTCTACGAAGTGGTGGCGGGCTCTCGGCATGTGACTGCGGGCGGGATTGCACCGGCGTATGGCTACTTCAAGTTTTCGCCGGATCGTATCACCGTTGCTCCGCTGCAAGGTCGACGGGACCTCATCACCTGGAGGGAGTCGATCGAACCTCAGCTGGAGGTCGCCGGGCTGAAGGGCTTCGCCGACGGCACTGTGCCAATTCCGCCCGAGGAGGATGTCGGGCTGCGCGGGGAGTTTCGTTCTGCTCACCTGCTCACCTTCATGGTCATCTCGAGGTGCTGCTCGCCGGTGGTACAGCTGGCGCTCAGGAGCTGTCGAGAGCGATTGGATGCTGGTCACCAGGCATGGCGCTTCATCATATCGACGTACCAGGTCAGGGACGACCTGTACATCGGGCAGCTGGAGGAGAAGATGACTCACATTCGGATGGGCGAGCAGGAGTCGGCGACGGATTACTGCAACCGTGCTCGACGGATCCTGGCTGAGATGCGAATGGCGGGCGCCGAATACTCGACGACGTCCTACATCACCCACATCGTCAAGGGCTTGCCGCGCAGCTACAATCTCATGAAGAGGATGATGATGGTGCCTGGCACGCGTGAGTCCCTCGACGAAGACTCCATCACCAGCTACATTCTCCAGGATGAGGCGATGCAGGAGGCAGAGCAGCCCACGGAGTTCCTTCCGCAGGCGAGTTACGCTGCACCGACGAAGCCGAATTATCAGCAGGAGCAGCGCGGGAAGCTAGGCGGAAGTGGTAGCGGAGGTGGGCGGTCGACGAAGGATGTCGACGAGAAGAGGTCGACGCGGGACAAGGGTCGACGAGGTGGTGGTCGACGGCGGGAGTGCTGGGTCTGCGGCGACCCCGACCATCTCTCCTTCGAGTGCCCCGACCGCGATGAGAGCGACGAGGACGACAACAAGGAAGGCCACGGTCGATCGGCCAGTCGTCGGCCCCGTCGAGTTGAGAAGCCGCGCAAGGAGAAGCAAGCGTCGAAGAAAACGTCCTCGACGAAGGACGTCGACAGCTCCAGCGGCAAGAGCCGAGGCGACGGGGAGGCGTCGTGCTCGATGGTCGGCGTGGTGGAGCCGACGGTCTCGCTAGCACCGGAGGCTGGCGAGGACTTCCAGGCGGTGGCAGCAGCTGTGCAGGCCAACCCGATGGCGGTGCTGCTCGACAGCGGGTGCTCCCACCACCTGATGGGGACGAAATCGGTCTTCGTTGACATGGGTCCGAGCGATGGAGTGCAGCACGTGCGTGGGTTCAACGGGGCATTGCAATCTGTCGAGGGGGGTGGAACTGTTGCTCTGCAAGGGGAGGCCGAGAAGCAGGTGCTCATCCCCGACGTG